TCCCAACCTTTGTTCTCCCGCTACTTTACCTTTGCCTACTGCCCTGTCTCTCTCACACCTGAAGAAGGCTCCACGACCGAAACGTTGTGTTTTCTCTCTTCTCTTCAGCCTGGAATAAACCTGTTACTTGTTCCTTTGCAGCCTACGCATGCTGACGCAGCTACCCACCTAAAATAATAATAGTTCAGGTGGGGAGCTGCGTCAGCATACAAACAGTAGGCTGCAAAGGAAGAAGTAACAGGTTTATTTCTTGCTGAAAAGAGAGAAAACACAAGAAGAACGAAGAAGGCTCCACAGCCAAAACGTTTTCTCTTTTTTCTCTTTTCAGCATGGAAAAAAACAATTACGTTATCCGAAAATAATAATAGTAAGGACTCCAGTTAGTGTTGGTTGCTTTCCAGCAATGTTTCATGTTACATTGATAACTCAGTCGTTCTTGATTACAACCAAGGTACCCATTAGCAGTGGCTCCAACCCCACTGTTTAATCCAGAAAGAGCTCAGCCATGGCTGGGAACAGGCGTGTGAAGGAGACTCTACCTGAGCAGCTGAGGAAGGCGGCGAAGCCTGTGTTTGTGGCCACGGGGGTCGAGGGGCAGTCGAACAGTGTCGTCTCGTTGGAGGAGCAGGTGTACCTCTTTGTCCAAAGGCTCCTGCTGCCGTTGGGCCTGCGTTCAAAAGCAGCGGGATTCCCACAATGCAGCTGCCTGCACACCACAGTGGCGGCTGCCTCTTCCCAGGATTCCCCGCTGAGCCACCAGGTCTCGTTAGGGCCACGGACAGACACAAGCCCCGAGCAGGGGCCGGGACCCCCCTCCAGCTGCACGCTTCTGTGATCTGTTCAGAAGAAAGAAGGCTGAGCTGGACGCTGCTCTCCTTTTTAACAGCCATTTTTCCCGGTGCTGGAAGAAGTACAGTACTCTCTGTTCAGATATAATAGGGTGAAAAGGTCTTCCCAGTTTACTGAACATTCGCTCAGTCCAGTAAAGCAGCAGGGGAGTATGAACATAGGAACAGGTACAAAGGAGAAGAGGCCATTCGACTCATATTAAATACTGCTGTAATAGAGTACTATTTCTGTATTATAATACAGTATGGTAATGTCTGTGTTATTAGTTTTTTTCTATATTGTAGTATACTAATATAATACAGTATAATAATATGTCTGTATTATAACACAGTCTAGTGTCTGTATCATGATATAGTTTTACTATGTTGTAATATCTCTGTATTATTGTATAGTAATATGCCTGTATTACAATACAGTATAGATCGTCCGCATTACAACATCTTTTTTGTTGCAACTTCTACATTAAGATTTTAAAGAAACAGCTCAACAAGTTTGGTAATCCAGTGGTCCAACTGAACGCGATCAATTCGTATTGTCGTATGTAACCTTAACAGGTGCATGTTGTTCTGGAATGGAGAAAGATGAACTACTGGTTTCGGCCGGGAGGTGAAATGTTGGCTCAGAGTCAAACACCGTGAACGGACTCAACAGGAGTGACGTGCCTGTGCAGATGACGTTAATGATATCCTCTTTTGTTCTCTGCTTCTTTGTTATGCACTGGGCCAAGGTCTTGTGTTTTTTCGAGCAGCTCAGTGTCTTTGGAAAGACGGACACCCCCCCTCTGCTGAAGATGTTGGTGTTGGACGAGTAGCCCGCGCCACAGCTCAGATCCCCGCACACCCTGTCCGAGTCCAGGGACGTCCAGCCCTCTGCGGCCGCACCCATCCACTGGCCGTCGTATGAGATCTCCACCCGGCCGGCGCAGCGCCCCGTCCCGTCGGCCAGTCGCACCTTCACGCTGTCTGCGGAAATAACCCACACGCGACTGTAAACCCAGAACACGCATCATCAGTCTGGAGGAATGTGAGAGTTTGAAAACACAGGCATTTTCCAAAACATTTTTCGGGTCGCGCGTCCTAACAGGAATTTTGAGAGGGAGGACGAGTTCGTGAGCAGTGAGTTACAATACGTTGCTTGCTTCTCCACAACGGAAGACACATGTGATCATCCGCTTATAATGATGGTTCTAGCAACTCCACATATTTCTCCATAACTCCAAACATATTTATGATATAGTGGGATGCAGAAATTAAATCCTACTGTAGCTGCGCCGAACTGTCCCGTGCACGATTGTGCATTTGATTACAGGGTCATAGCGCCATCTTGTGGGAAGAACCCGTCACACCTTTCAATGCTTTTATGTAAGTCAAGGGGACAATCCAAAGCTACATGTTTTCAAAGGAGACGGGGCCCAAGGTGACCCGATACAGTTCAAGACGACGTTTAAGAGTACGAGAGGATACAGAAAGGTTACAAATGAGAGGACGCCTTCAGCCGGTCTCACACATCTGGAGGATCATGGCAAATTTATCCCACCCATACCTCATCCAGCAATTTCTTAATCATAAGGATGCTTGAGAGGAGCCAGGGTATGGGCCTCATCTGCACGACTGAGCGGCTTGCTCCACGCTCCCACAACCCTCTGGGTAAGAGAGAGCCTCCTGTTCTCAGTTCTAAATGCACCTTTTAGGATCCTGAATACCTGAATCAGTGCCTCCCAGGGTCTTCCCTGTTCGAGCCATGCATGTCTAAGTACACGTGGCCAGTACAGTGAAACTGCGAATGGCTCATTAAAAGCTTCAGGTCCTTCAAGCTGTCGGTGTCAGCAGTTCTTTCCTGGGGGTGTATCTGGGTGCTCTTCCCTGGACAACTTCCAGAGAAGCAGTATCTTGTAGCGACCAAACTCGCACACAGTATTCTCAAATGAAGTCTTCCTAGTAGACTGACCAGGTTCAATGTAACAGCTTCTGATTTGAGTTCTACACTGTACACTATATATCCTAACATAAGAAAATTACAGGGGGGGGGGGTCTCATTTATTTTTTTGAAGTATTCTAGTTCACTTCTGCAGCAACAAGAGTGAAACACCAACCACAGGACGCTGTATGGAAACGCACCGAAAGCAGACAGCAGGTGACACGTCTTTACACAAAGGGTGGTGGGAGTGTGGAACAAGCCACCCAGCCATGTTGCTGAAGTGGATTCCCTGGCTCCTTTCAAGAAACAGCTGGATGAGATTCCGGGATCAATTGATTAACATTGATCTGGTCCACCGCTTTGGCCAAATGGGCTGAACAGCCTCCTTTTGTACAGTAGGTCTGCGGGTCTCGGGTTCGTCAGGATGTGCTCTGAGTGTGTGGGCTCACGGTGAAGTAATACCCACCAGCACAAACCACTCGGGCTTCGCTGCAGGGCTGGAGTTTGTGGTGTTTGGCCAGGCAGTGCCACAGAGAGGACTCTTTGCCCTTGCACTGCACTCTGTCCACCCAGCCAGCTGTGTTCCAGCTGCCCGAGGAGACCGAGACCAGCTCACCGCAGCCCAGCTCCCTGCACACCACCTTCCCATCTTCCTCGTTCCATTCGTTGGCACACACTGCCCCCTCCTGGCCGGCTCTGGCAACACGCACTGGCCCATAGCAATCGTTGCTGTGACCTAGCAATATCTTCACTGTGTCTGCAAGAATAAATCACTTTAATTATTTCTATTTCTATTCATCCGGGCTCAGCCCCTATGTAAATATGCAAGAGCACTGATGTTGATTATCTGCACACTGGCATGTTCCAGTCTTCAAAAATAACCTCTTCCTACAGTATTTTCTCATTCCACTCTCTCCAGTTAGAAGATTAGGCAAGAAACGCACGTTTTCCACAAAACAATTCTAAAATGCAGAGCAAGGTCAGTGTTGCAGGATACCAGGAATTATCGCCATTCATCTGTGACGGTACTGCTTCACTCCTGCTGTCTAAATGTCTCAGGCTGGGAGGTGGACTTTGAGGCAGCAAGAAACTGCACACAGATGAAGAGTTAAGCCTGAGTTCAGCCTGTTCAGCACACCCCTACGTGAGCGCATCAGATAAGGAAATAGAAACTGAATGGCCGTACCTGAGCAATTGAGGCCAACTTTCTTCGAGTTGCCAGTGGTCACAAACATGCCGTTACTCCCACAGTGCATTTTTTCACAGATCTTGGCCGGGTTGCTCAGGTTCATACCATCCCTGACCTCCAGACTCCCATGGCAAGCATCAGTACCATTAACCACACGCAGTGGGACATGATCTGCACCACAACCACAAGAACACTGAACTTTAGAGGTGCAAAGAAAGACATATGCTCGTTAAAAAAAAACTTAATCAGAGCTCTTAGTCAGAGCTGACCGTCACCCAGAAAGAAGTCAAGAATCTGCAATTCTTAAACTGAAATCGGCAGATTAAGCTACCTACAGAGAGGGAGGCAGGAGTCAATGCTGACCGCTGGTCATGGACAGGAGGCTTAAGAGAGCTGTTGAATGACATTGATTGACTCCTTCAGGAACTAGCCTCAGAATGGCAGCTGCCCAGCTGGGAAAGAGTCGGGCATTTCCAGCAGTCCTGCACCACCTGAGATTGTCTTCTCCCCAGTTTGTCGTGTTTGTGTACTGAGCCACAACATAACCTATTAGTTTCTGTTGTGAACACTGTACCACTGTAGGCAACCCTCTCATTCAAAACGATCTTGGCACTCAGTGACACGAACACGAATAGAATTTCTCCTGCGAGCTAGTCGGATTGGCCCCACTGGTCTATTGACCCTCAAATATAACGAGCATAAAACAAAGGTTGTTAGAACAAGGATCTGAAGGTGCTTGAGTGGGGACGTGTGTCAGTGTGTGCGTTGACTTCAAAGGGACAAGTAAAAGTTAACCCCATGCTGAGAAGTACAAAGAAGAAGCACATTTGGGCTGTTGAGCCTCCTTCGGGTGTGTTCATGATAGTATGATAATCTTGATGACACATCTGAACAAGGCTCAACATTGCTTCCTCTGTCAACTTTTCAGAAATGATTTAAAGTCGTCAGTTTTCTTTTCTCCACTCATGGAGTTCCTTACTGAAGTCTGGGAGGAAGGTTAGATCCTAATCCCTTTTACTCTTCTGCTTCCCTACATTCATTTATCTCACCCTCAGGTTTTCCCTCGGCGCATCTCCCTGGCACCCTCCCAACATCCCACCTGCACCCCTGCAGCAGCTCCCTGGCTCATTCCTCGGGAAAGTGAGGAAGGTTCTGGTCAGGCTCCCGATCTCTCAGCTACGATTCCTACACCAAATAACCTCTCAAGGACTTGTCCCTCTACTGCAGTCATCAGGACCTTACCCAGCTACTGAAGCCCTGAAAGGATACTCTGATAAGGAAAAGGTTTGCAATTGCTCTGGCTGAAATTTCTAGACCGGAAAGACAGGGAGAACAGCTCCCACCTGAGCAGACGACGCTGGTGGCCGCTGGGGAGGTGCAGGGCTTGCCCGTGATGTTGTGGGCACACTGCCAGAAGTACTGCTCATCGCCCATGCAGTTCAGGGAGAGGAGCTCCACGCCATCGCTGGGGAACATCTCGCCCTTGTAGAAGGCAATCTTATTCCCGCAGCCCAGCTCCCTACACACCACGTCTGCTTCCTTCGCACCTGCGCCCACAAGGACATGACGGTATTTAGTAACGAACACGATGACCTACACATTGCATGTGAGAGAAAGACACTTGATGGCTCCTGCTGTCTGAAGGAGAGGTACAGTGTACAGTGCATGATGTGGCTGGAAAAAGTGCAGTGTTTATTTGTGGTCACTAAAAGAACAGTGCGACGTTGCCTTAGCAGAATCTTGCACAACCACGTGTGCTTATCCATCTTACAAGCAGAGGAGGTGCCTCAGATCTGGACAAGTTCAGTCTGTCTGCGATTATGGGAAATGAGTCCCTTTCCGGGCTCGATCTGCTGCCGGTGTCAGATCTGCTGACCGGAGTGTCCGACGTGTGATGATGAGTGATGAGTGACGAAGAGGGCCAGGGTGTCGTGTTGGCCCAGTGTGGGGGCGCCGGTGCTCACCCCAGGAGTCTTCACACACACTGGCTCTCCTGCCCCCGTGATCCAGCTGCACGGTGCCAGCACAGCGATCCCCTCCGTGAGCCAGACTCAGCACGACCCGCCCTGGGAGGGACAAGGAACGCCATTCTCATGAGCAGGAGGAGGAGGATGAAGAAGAACAGGATGGTGTGGGATTTTCTCTATGGGATGTCTCTGTGTGAGATTTGCCAGGTGTGCAAGGTTTTCTTGTGTGAAGGACATGTTGTACAGACACCTGTTGTTTTCACAAAAAAGGTAGGCTGGATAAGCATACTGTTGTCTTGTATATGGCAGTCTGTAGGCAGGATCAGAGGTGAACTCTAAATACCTTGATAATAAAATATGCGCTTCTTCAATGCCATGTTGGGTGAAAAGAGGTGTTTTAAAGTACAAAAGGATGTTTGTAAATGATGATGGTAAGAAAATCAGATAGGGAGAAGATCACTCGGTAATTCTGATCTCTGGGAGGGCTACTCATTAGAGATACACTTCTTCCAGATCTTGCACAGATCACTGAACTGTGCTTGTTTCTGCACAATGATGATGCAGCTACAAAAGAGCTCAGTCTACAAGCAGTCCAGCTCTGAGAAACTAACTGTGAGTTAATAGTAAGCTGCCAGAGATACTACTTAATATAAATTCTCATTAACCTGCTGGGACAGTATGTAACATCACTTGTCACATAAAAGCATTGTGTCAGTCAATATTTAAGAGGTGTTGTATAAAGAACCCAAAATGTAATTTTCAGACCAGAAGAGTGATTGGGCCACTTCAGATTATGCATAGTAAAATAATAAATTAAGATATACAATAAAGCAAAAAGGGTGCCTTCCTATTCATCACTTCAAAAATGAGACGTTTGAACATTGAACATTTTACAACTGAAAGTCTGCAAAAAACCCATACAGGTCACAAAATATGTAATAGTTATTGTCACATTTCATAGTACTGAGTGGCTGGATATCCCTTCTGTCGTTACTCATCTGACTGTGCTTTTATCCAAATTAATTATCCGCTGTATTTACGCAGCTGGGTGTGTTACTGGCACAATCAGAGAGGAGGGTACAGCAGCACTGCTCCACCCTGGCTGTGAATCCACAAGCTCCCTGTTAGACAGTACCTGCAGAGCCCTGTTGTTCTTGCAGCCAACAGCAGAAAACACTGTGCCCCCCCTGCACCTGGAGCCAGCCAGCACCCTCCTCATGCTCTAACCACAGACACACCTCGCCACAAACTTCATCGAGCAAAACACAGGGAGCTAGATCCCTAAACCCTGAAAAGTGTGCAAATAAAGTGTTAAAAACACTACAAAATGCTTTAGTGGACAATGTTTGGGAAGGAATGAGGAGGAATGAGTAATGACCATCAACAGTACCTACATCTTGGTCAAATTGTCAAATGTCAGCTCGTGTTATTAAGACCTGTGCTGCTCAGAATAGTGAATAATCATGCTGGGAAAAGACACGGTCTTCTAAAACTTCAGAAAATTCTTCAGACAGCCAAGAGTACTTTTTTTGGTTTTTAATGTTAGAAGCTAACTGGCTCAAGAATCTCATCCAGCTGCTTCCTGGAAAAAAAAAAAAACAGGGTATCGGCCTCAACAACATGGCTGGGCAGCTCGTTCCACACTCCCGCCACCCTTGGTGTATAGAAGCGTCACCCGCTGTCTGTTTTTAGTGCTCTTCCGCGCGGCTTGCACTCTTGTCCTGTGGTTGGTGTTTCGCTGTTGTTGCTGCAGAAGTAAACTAGAAGACTTCAAAAAACGAACTCGGATCCCCCTGCAATCTTCTTAGGTTAGGATATATCGTTTAAAGTGTAGAATTCAAATCCGTGTGCAGACTGCCTGTTGCCCAGAGAGCAGGGTCAAAAGCAATTGGCTAAAGCCCTGGGCCTGTCTGGGAGAGGGAGGTCCTCACCTGAGCACTCGACGTTGACATGGTGGCTCTCAACATCGCAGGTGACCATGCCCCACCCGGAGAAACTGCAGTTCCACAGGTGGCGCTCGCGTCCTGTGCAGTTCACTTCGTTCATCCAGACCCTCTTGGTGTGGTGGGGGAATTTCTTGATGGTGGACTGACGGACAGGCTGCCCGCACTCCAGGCTCCGGCACACCACGGCGCTGTTCACCTCCGACCACTTGTCGTTGCAGACGACGCCCCACTCGCCTTTGTGGAAGACCTCCAGGCGGCCCACGCAGGGCTTGTCTCCGCCGTGGAGGCGCAGCCTTTGCGCCTCTGCTGGGGGGCAGAGGATCACTGCTATTGGGGCCGAACTGACGGCGCAGAACCCGGGCCAGCGACGGGCTCTGGTCTAGCTGCGGCACCGGGCCAGCGTGCTGCACAGGTTCGGACTTCTAAACAATATCAACGACTATCTAGAAAAATACTTACCGAGTCTCTCCGGCTCACCTGCTTGGTCACCTTACAGTGCAGCGGATAAGAAAGCAAGCAGGGGGGAGCGTTCACCTCCTAACACGCAACATGATCTGCTTTTTTTCTTACAGAAAGTTTTAACTGGGGGGGGGGGTAGGGTTTTTGCTGAACCTCTCTTTTAATTTGTGATAAATTTACTTTTTTAGACCATAAGAATAACCAGGATATTCGCGATTTCAAAACGTTTCGTTAACTTCAAACAACACTTTTCGCATGTTCTGCTCCAAGAACAGTCCGGCGTGACCGAACACCACACGCCGTTCCCACGCGCTATATTTGGGGAGACGCTGGACCTCGTTTTCAAACAGCGGTCCCACAGGCTCTTGGTGGAAAATACTGTATCTGAAGTGTGCAAGCACCTTCGCACAGAAAGGCGGTTCGCCACAGTCTCCAGCCGTTATCAGGCAGGAGGCCGGTCCTCGCTTCGCGTCAGGAAACGAACACCGATGCCGAGATTAAGCTCCCTCGCTCGCTCTCCGCAGACTCAGGCGTAAGCTAAACCACAGGCCACCAGCAAGAAGAGAACTTAAAACTGAAGACCGTGATCTCTCTGCACTACTAACAGAAAGATAAAAAGAAGTACGTTTCATAAGAGGAAAGCAAACCTCGTAGAACTGCACATTGATATGCGCAGATCTCCTCTGCGGACATCACAGTGTGATGTGAATTTGAATTTATTTGAAAAAGAAAACTCCGAATCTGTTACCATTCCCTGGACTCCGGGGGTTATCGACACTAAAATGACATCTCCGTGTTGATGTTTGAATTTAACGCACCTCTGGACCATTGTATGTGGACACAATTATCGTATAACATCGAGTTACTTTTGCAACGTCATTTATTAAAGTTACCAGTTGCTTATGTCAATGGTTACACAATGTTCAGGGAAATCATTTTTAAAAAGTCTTCAGCGACAGTGATCTGTGTAGTGGGTGTGAAATGTAACGTGAGAAGTGTGACTTTGCCTCGTAAAAGCAACAGCATACTTACTGGAAAAGAAGAGTGCAAAGTGTCATTCAGATCATGAATTAAAACAGTTCGGCAGTGGCGTGATTTTTAAAGTAATTTCAGGCTTGCGTGCATCACCCAAACCGTCTTCTCTGCTTCAGTGATTTTTGCACGCTGCAGCTCAGAACTGCAGCCTTTCTTAGACAGCCTGCAATGGAGAGCCCACACTACACGAGCCTGTAATCCTGTGGGAAAATGACCCGATCACAAGCAAGCTTGAACTCATCCCTATTCTAACCCCTTCATCCGATTCCAGGCTGTGGGAGAGGCAGAGCCGATCCCAACAAGGAATGGGCACAAGGCAGGGAACACCCTGGACAGGAGGTCAGTGTGTCGCAGGGCACACACACACCGAGGCCAGTGTGAAGCTGATTAACAGCCCTGTATGTCTGGACTATGGGGGGGAAACTCACACGAACACGGGAGGGACATGCAAACTCTGACGATGGAGTTCTACATTCGAAAAAAAGGTGTATTTTATTTTTTGGCTTGTAAAAAAGCAATATGGGATGTACGTTAATTCGAATAACGTAAGACATCAATTATTCATATATTAACAAAGAAAACAAGAGTTGTGTGAGCTAAAAGCTAACTTTTATAACTTACTGGCATGGCAAGTTGGTCAATCAGGACCTGGTATTGATAGGAATTGGGTGGATTTTCTTATTTATCATTTTAACCTCAAGAGTTTATTCAACTCTTCACCATACCCCGTACTGTAATACAATAAGTTATAATAAAAAAAAATTAAATTATTGAGACACAGGGAGGAAATACTATTTTTTGACCAGACATGGAAAAATAAACAAGCCTTTCCATTGTAAAAGTCTGCCTTATTTATTTCTTAAATTATAAAATTGTAATAACATTAAATATATTTATATATAATATATTAGAATATATTTCTAGTCATTTTTATATACATAAATGTGTTTTCAATAGTTTTTTAATAATATTCACTAATTTATTTCCTATTACAGTTTTGTTTGTTAAGAATTTCCACACTGTCTTCAATACCTCTCTAAACTGAACACTCTCCCATCTTAATTAGCAGTACATGTCATTTCTAGCACATTAAATAGTTCGTAATACACAGTTCCAATTCAGATGTGTTTAACTTTAATGATATGTGGGAGTAGGCATAGTGATATTGTTATATATTATGTACGTACAGTATTTACCTTCCTTTCTAAATTTCTCCCTTCTGCATTTGGAAATAGCCTTAAAAGAGATTAATACATGTACAGTACATGTACGATTTGTTTGGAACCACTGTTCTAAGAACGGTGGTTTCTGTTTTTAAAAAAAAACAAAAAAGGAATTTACTCACGAAAACAGCACAAGCAATGTAGAGAAATACAGATTCTAATTTTTTTATCACCTTAGAATCATTTAAAAGAATTTCAAGAAAGTTCTGTATGACTAAAAGATTTTTTGAAGAAATGTTGGACTAATTTATATCAATACATTTCTCAAAAATGAATAAATGTTTTCAGTTCTCTACGCGAGCATTTTATAACAGTTTTTTTTGTTCTTTCAGTTTAATACAATTTTTTTCACTGTATCTGCTTTATTATATAGTTCATAACTTTGCACGTACAATTGCCCGTATTATTAAACTGTATAATTAATCAGTGGAATTAAAAAAAAAACCTTCAGGCCAAATCACAGCAAACTCTCCAGATACTTTTATAATATAATATCAAACAGCGAATTCCTGAATCAGTTCATTGATCACCAAAATTACAGAAAAATGCTTTCTTTTAAAAACGGCATATTGCTCATTATCTAATTGTTTGCAGAGACTGTGAAGTATCAAATCATTTCTGTTATTCGTTCAGAAAACAGTAGTCATATTATAAGTTCAAAACACAAAGGTCCTCTGAAATATTTTGGATCATTTAATCTAGAGGCAGTATTCGGACAATGTTATCTAACAATATGACTTGGTTTAAAAGAGAGGGCTGGAGAAATAAATAGCACCACTTGCCTGAGACAGTCCATAGCCACAGGAAAGCTGAGAGACGCCAACCCACAAAGGATTCTGGGAACCGCATGGAGCGCAGCAGGGAGCTGTAGGATCGAGAAGTCTGCAGGTTGAAAATGAACGGCCTTTCCCAGCGTCCACTTTATAGGACTCTCAAAGCCCTTCTCTGTTCTTCGTTTACCATTTAAGGTGAGGGAGCGCAGACAGCTACCGTGAGTAGACCAATCGCATTCGCCGTGCGTGTGGAAATGCCTCTACAGCAGCTCTTCACCACGCTGACTTAACCTGTTTTTTTAAATAGTGCAAAACTGGGCAAAATCATAATAGGAAATGAAGACAGCAAAACAACTTTACTCCGCAGCAGACATATTGCTATATCGATAGATACGTAATAATATATTATCAGAATAATAATACAATACTGTACATCCATAGATCACAAAGCACCTAACATGCATGGGACAATTTAAGATATTTCCTCATGAAAATGTCTCACTTCGAGGCACAGCAGTAAACTAAGATATTCTAAAAAACAAGAAAGAACGGGACAACATTTTGTTTTTCTAAGACTGAAAACGTTGTTTTACCTGTGGGGCTTCACACCAGCTGTGGGCCGCACTGCATTTCTTACACAGGAGCCCTTTTTTAAGATCAGATGGAAAAGCGACTCTTGGTGTGTTCTTTAGGGTCTGCTGAGGTAAGCAGAGGGTTCTCGTGCGAAGCTAATGTTTCCTGTTCGACGAAGGCCTGGAGCAGAATCTGAGCTTGTTGTATGACCATCTTTAAAACTATCAGGCTTGCTCAATAAGAGTAAGAATAAGAATAATTATGTATTATAACACACTTCACTGTATATATTATAACTGTATATATTCAGGTGGGTAGCTGCATCACACCTGAAGAAGGCTCCACGGCCGAAACGTTGTGTTCTCTTTCTTTTATTTTGAGCAGGGAATAAACCTGTATGTATTATAAGTATATATTGAAATATTTTCTCATTAGCAGTATTTGAGAACCCCACACCTGAACACTGAGACAATCTGAGCTCTAGACTGCAGAGTGACCACAGTCAGGTACAGGAGAGCACAGAGGGACATGGTCAACAGTCCAAGAGTCAGAACAGGCTGGCTCTGGGGTCCCCAATCTCCCGCTACGCTACCGAGCCCCACATTGGTCTAACACCAGCATTACTGGGCATCTCCAGTGCTCGTCGGTTTGCAATCACGTTGGCGTTTGCCCTTTAGCTTTTGGCTAGAAGATGCACCTGCGGGGAATCCCATCACGCACCTCCCGAGTCCAGGCAAGGGGAGCGCTGGGCTGACAGCGACACCAGCAGCGGGGCGCTCCCCGGCATTGGGTGAACTTTGCACGTTATCCTGCGTGAAGCATCCATCCGAATCCTCTCCTCGCAGCCAGCGTGTGCGCGCCTGTGTCTTTGCATGCTCTGTCCTGCGATGGACTGGAGCCGGAGCCTTGCGCCCGTTGCGTGCCGGGATAAGCTATTTTTAAGTATGTTTTTAAAGGTTTAACAAATGCAAAGAAACTGCAGGCGACCTGCCGGTTGCCGGTGGGGCGCAGTTCGGCAGTACAGCGCTCGCCCAGTCTGCCCTGAGCGAGGCTTTAATTCCGCACAGCAGCATGCTGAACTGAGGAAAAACAATTCTTTAATTTAAAACATTAATAATAGCAAGAAAGGGCCGGGAGTCCCGCTTTTTTCGAAAAGAGTCAAGAACGAGATACCTTTGATGAATTCGTATTGAGGCGCCGAGCAGCACATACCAACACAACGGCCGACACCTCGATTACTTTCTCTTCTGCTAATTTTGTGGCCAAAACAAACCCCCCCAAAAAAAGCCTGTCGGAACGGCAATTAATTATTATGATTGATATCCAGAGAAGCTAGCCGGGAGAAGCCCTTAAAATAAGCCCGCAGGAAGAATATAATAGCCACCGTTAGTAAATAACTAGCTTTGACCTTTTTCACAAACACTTGCAGGAAAATTAAATAAACACTGGGGCGTTCTTATTAACGTCGGGATACTAATTAGAACGCGTTTAATTAGCTTTCTGTTTAGTTGACAGTCTTTTGTTATCTCTGCCTCGCTCCTTCTCTTACTCGAAACGCATTGGAAGCGGAGAGATGGAGAATGTTGTATTGCTTTTATTTTGGGGACTTTTGATAAACTAGTGATCATCTTAGGGGGTAATAAACAAAGGGGCGGAAATGTTTCCCTTAAATGAAATAGTTTCATCGCCGCCGGACATTGCAAAGGTGATCGGTGGAAGTGAGCAAACTTCTTGATCCGCGATCAGCAGCTGTGATCCGATCCGAGCGCCGAGCAGAGCTCTTCGACCGCGGTTTCTTACCCGCGTTGCTGGAGCATTCCGGCGGACTGGCTGGAAATGCACTTTTTAAAACTTGTTAATTTGTTGTTATCGTGTTGGGCCGGGAGGGCAAGCCGGCGGCGGGAGAAGGGTGAACACGTCCTCTGACGCTGCCCCACGTGGTGGTGCGCACGTTCTCGATGCGCCGCGCACGGGGAGGGCCAGTTAAACGGATGTTTTTCATATTAAAAGGGTGTTGACGAGAGAATTAAGAGACACCGCGGCTATAGGACACGCCCCTGAACGATAAACAAGAAGGTATAGCGCCCAGGTGAACGTGGCGAACATGCAGACTCCACCCCGAATGACCCCCGCCCGGATTCAAACCCAGGAGCTCGGAGCGACAAGGCCTCAGCGCGGACCATCACCACGCTGTTGCTGCTCAGCGACAACAACAGCGATGATGGGGTGTCCATTCATGAGATTCAGATAGCGCTTCTGGCTTTAGACATATACTGTAGCAGACATACTCACTGATGGGAAAGAACGCAGAACAAGAATTTATACAACTGCTTTTCGCCCGATTCCAGAAAGTCCCTCCCTGCTTCAGACACTGCAGGCCTGTTTTTCCGTGCGAAGTCTCTGGCCGTTTTAACAGACTTACCCGCGAAGTTCAAAAGTCCTGGCAGCGACCCACGCCTCGGTCTAAAGCCCTGCTCTTTATTTACGTACTGTGGTTTAACTTTGCAATATAAATCCTTGCAATAATGCTAGTTCATTTCTAATGTCGTCCAGCGCGAGTTTCTGAATTCTTTTTCTAATGAAATATTAACTTGGCTTTAATTAATGTTACTAAAACAAGGAAAATCGCTTTTAAAGGTCCCGATCAATACAGAAATCCACGACCAAGCACGCAAAGAGCCTTTTTTGTGGTTGCTTGATAGGCCATTAGCGGAGCAGGTGAATTCGGGTAACGTCGACTGCGTGCTTGCTCGTTATCAGAGATGTATATTTAATTTATGAGGTTTATCTCCGACCCCCCGCCAGCAGATCTTGTGATGTGCAGCACCAAGCAGAATTCAAAGTCTGACCTTGGAATTCAGGATTGCTAAACGGCACTGATGCAATCGATCGGCTTTGCTGCTTTGGAAGCTCAAAGAAAGAAAGCCCCAAGAAAACTTCCTCCTGCCGAGCTCCGTCCTCCCTCTGAAGGCCGTCTCGCCAGCCTCTTTCTCCGTGCCAGCGCTCAGCAAACACCTTGCACCAACTGGAGCAGGCACAAACACCAGATGGGGATCTCCCTTTTTAACGGCTCTATTTGAGATACTGTACCAGGCCTTCATAACGCTTCGCGCCCCTTGTCCTTGGCGTGGTCCGTCCAGCACATGACAAGCGTTTGCCTTCGACTCCACACACGGCTTCTGTATAAATATATCATTATATCACGTAAAATCCCACAAAAACCATTTATTTCAGGACTGATGTTATGACATATTTTCATCTGATAGGGAAATAGAACAAAACATAAAGATGTTTGTTAAACAAATAGTACGACGTCATGATGTCAGGAATTCCCAAAACAAGTCACATCCAAAGGCTCCAATTAAGCTTAGTCTAGTTCCTTACCCTTTACAAGTGCGTTTAAAAACACAATAATTCAATCTAATTTTTTAAGACCTATATCTTTTATTGTGCTGTATTTAGCCACGCACACGCGGGTGTACGCCAGGGTCTAATTCTCGGCCTCGAATTCACTGATTTGTGTTAAAATCCGAAAGAGTTCTGAGGCCCGGAGGTGCGCTGTGGGCCGGCTCTCAGCCGAGCGGCGGATGAGCTTCCGCAGGGTTTGACTCGAGGCCGCAAAGAGATTCAGATCAGACCTCAGGGTGGGCTTATCGAGAGTTTATACCTACTGAGTCATCTGTTTACCGGCTCAACAGCACAGCACAGGAAGGCGCGCTTGCACACTCGACGTCAGATGAGACCTGGGAGATAACGACACCAGGGTGGTCCCTCTTCTGACTACATGTCAGCTGTCCACCGCGACGGCGATGTGTTCGGTCGAACCCCCTGTTTCAGGTGGGCGCCTGCTCCTTCTGTCGGCTCGCATGAGCGGGAGCGTTAAAACAGCACCAGCATTCCTGCTTCCCTAGTTGCGTTTTTATCAGAACGAAGTGGAAATCGTCGCCCATCCGTCTCCATCGAATCCAACAGGGTTTTTTTTTAGGACCAAGAGGAAGTGGGGCTCTGTCACGCGGGCCTTGTTTAGCCCGCGCTCAGCCCGTCAACCCCCCCCGCCCCCCCGCGCGCGCGCTTATCGCAGCTGCGGTCCTCGCGGGCAGAATAAAGTGCTGGCTCACGTGAAACTCGCGGGGGCCCCCCTGTGGCTTCGCGGCGCGGTGACGTCAGAGGAGGCCCCGCTCCAGGGCGCAGCTGGTGGCGCGGGTCAACGCCGGGACCCGCCCGGAGGGGAGCAAGGAGAAGAGAGGGAAGACCGGAAGTGCCGTGTTCCGAGCCCGTCGGTGTAGGCACTGTAACTGAAGATTCAGACCGCACTGGCGCCTTCTGTGCCAGGCCCGGTTACAGCGCTTTAGAAAGGGCTGGCTGAAAATAAATCCTTGGAGCGAAAGGCTTTCTTCACAACAAAACATCATCCATCCATTTCCGAACCGCTTTGTCCTCTACAGGGTCCCAGGGGATGCTGGTGCAGCGATCAGCATGGCCGCCTCGCAGCGCTGGGGCTCTGGACTGGCTCCCTTGGGTGCTGTCTGTGTGGAGCCTGCGCGTTCTCCCCGGGGTTGTGAGGGTTTCCCCCGGGTGCTCCGGTGTCCGCCCATGGTCCAAACACATGCTGGAAGATGAACTGGCTTCTGGGAAGGGTGGTCCTGCTGTGTGTGTGTGTGTGCCTGCCTTGAGCCTGTGGCATGCTGGGATAGGCTCCACCTGCCCCACAGCC